TCCTGATGTCAGCCTCCCAAGTAGCTAGGATTACAAGTGTGAGCCACCAGTGCCTGGCCAGAGCTTATACTCTTAATTAATACTCAATAAATATTTCTGGAATGAATTAAAGATGGGCCAGAGCTGGGTACCGGTGGCTCATGCCTGGAATCCTAGCTACTTGGGAGGCACAGAACAGGAGGACTGTGGTTTGAAGCCTGCTTCGGCAAATAGTTCGAGAGACCCTATCTTGAAAAAACCCATCACAAAAAAGGGCTTGTGGAGTGGTTCAAGGGATAAGAACACCTGCTAAGCAAGCATGAGGCCCTAAGTTCACACTCCAATAAAAAAAAAAAAAAAAAAAGATAGGCCAGGTGCAGGGACTCACATCTGTAATTCCAGCTACTCAGGAAGTAGAAAACAGGAGGACAGGGGTTAGAGGCTAACCCAGGAAAATGTTAGAGAGACCTCACCTCAACCAATAAATTGGATGATGTTTGTAATCCCTGCCACAATGGGGAGGTATACATAGAAGGATCATCGTCCAGCCTGGCCAGGGCAAAAAAACATGAGACCCAACCTGAAAAATAACTAGCAAAAAAGGCTGGTGGAGTGGCTCAAGTGGTAGAGCACCTGCCTAGGAAGCATGATGTCCTGAGTTCGTTCAAACCCCAGTACCACAAAAAAAAAAAAAAGTTAACAATGGTTGAATTTTTTCCTTGCTACTTTAGACTTCTCATATTTCCCAAAACTTCTACAACAAACACAAACTACAAGAAAATGAAGTGTTTACAAGAACATGTGTATACTCAGCAGATAATGCTGAGTGGTATCTTTGTCACTGGTTATCATTATTTTAGGTAAAAGGACCTTTAGTAGATACTGTTCCTTTTGCCCAACTTTAGAGTAGGAGCTGATGCAGACAACACTGTCACATCTTCAAAAGCACCTCCCAGGAGCTTAGCTTTGCTTGTCTCAATGTTTTCAGGTAGCTTCTCATGCAGCTAAGTAAAGAGAAAAACCCAGCAAGTAGTCTGGTCCAACTTGATCCAGAACCCAGAAACTAGAATCACCGTGTGACTTCAATGTGTACAGGATGCACAAAGTGGAAAGGGAAAGCAGAAAATCAGAAAATAAGACAGTAGGAAACTAGGAAAAAAGAAATGGGGGCGGGTGGGGAATTGGGACATAAGAAGCCAAAAATGAGCATTAGGAACTCAAGAAAAGATATCAAAAGTTCAAATAAAAGTTGAACGTGTGTATGTATTTAAACCCTTCAGAAACAGGGCTAAGGGACAGGAAAAGAATAACGGAATGGGGCTGTTTGGGCACCTCAACTAGAGAAACCAGGAGGCAAAATAACAGGTAAAGATGGCTCTTTTGGGGGAGTTTGCTAAGGCAGCTGGACCAACAGACATAAACTCTTTCATAAACTCTTACAACTTAGAGGGCTGTTACCTCGGTCCCCTTCACACACAGACACAAACGCTTAAGTTTAAAGGAATCCGATCATACATTGGAGGCGCTAAGATCAGTCGGGTGGGGTGTAAATGGAGTAGGTGGGGGTGTGGGAGAGAACTTCAAAGAGCAAGTCCCCAGACACGGTGAGACCTGGATCCAACCCCAGATGGGACGAGGGATTGTAAGGAGAGTAGTCCGCAGCCTGGGAGAAAGGTCAGTCATTAGGACCAAAATGTCAGGGTATTGGCGGTGGGGGAGCGGCGGGGGCTGCCGATCCCAACCCAAGTGACTGAATCTAAGGGACCGGGGTTGGTGGAGGCTGCACTGCGGTCCCATGGAGAAGTCGTATCATCGGGATCACTGTCACCCATGATCGCGTTATGTCCCCAACTCGGGCTCTCGTACCCTCCAAAGTGACGGTGTCCAGCTCTCGCTGGGAGTGCTCAGCCGTCGCTGCCTTGCCGTCTGCCTCCCCGGTGGAGCCGCTACCCGCGGCCGCCTCTTCTTTCATCTCCACATCCTGGGGGCCCGGAGGCGGTGGTGGTTCTTGTTCGCCACCGCCCGGCGGTGGCTTCGCCTTGTCGGCGCCACGGCGCCGCGCAGACCCCTCCTGCTTCATGGCGCCTGGGGTCGCGGCCTAGTCTGGGGACCGAGGCCGGGGCCTCGCGTGAACCCTTGCACCAGGATCCAGGCACCGAGTCGGGCCTGCACACAAGCGCGGGATCGCGTCGGGCCGCACGATGACAGAGCAGCAGCAAACCCCTTCCCGGCGCTCGGTCTTCTGGGAAACGCCAAGCCAGGCGGGCCGATGGCCGAGTCAACACAGGGAAAAGAAATCAACAGCCGAGACGCAGGATGGAGGCGGATCTTCGAGGAAGGAGTGGGGAGGAGTCAGTAAATGTTTGTGGGGCTTTCTTTGGGCGCCTAAGTGTGTTGATTTTCATTTATCTTCCTCTGGAGTGCATTTCTGCGGATGTCCACAAGAGGTCCCCTCAGGTTTCAACCTTGGCTACGGACGCTAAGAGCACCCCAACTTGCGTAAAGTTGCTAGGACCTATCAGAGCGCGGGGTGAGATGATGTCATGAGTTGCTGGGCAGATTTTGCGCCCACGCTCGCTCTCTTTCCCCTGATAAGGGTTGCCTTCGAGATCTGGTCAGGCTCTTGCTCAACTGCCACCTACCTGGTGCCCCCAGCGCGAGCGAAGAAAAGAAAGCTGCGGCTGAGGGACGTAGAGGAACTAGGCTGTTGGGCTTAAGATAAACTGCGCTAGACAGTAGGAAGAACCCTATGGGATCCGGACTTCTTGTCATATTTTAGTTTAGTGCTAAAAATAAGGCATAAAATCTATGCAGCCTGGGAGTGTGGATGGGGGAGGATGAGAGTGCTTTTAGGTAGAATCATTCAGTTTAATAAAAATAAAGGTCTACTCTGTATACGACCCAGGGTTAACATATGGTAGGGTTGTTGAACTCAACAAGAGTTGAGTATGCATGTAGATTATGGGGGAGTCTGACTATGTAGATAAATGGATGTTATGCTCCGGCTGCAGAGTATTTGGAGGGTGGAAGTCCCTACTGGCAGAGGCTTCAGGGAGCAGATTGAGGGGGACTTTATACATCCAGACAGACACTGTTGTGAAATAATAATATAAAATAATGATAATAGTGTGCGTACATGGTGTGAGTAAAAGGAAAACATTGGAGCAGTAACTCTGCCCACTTATTTTCCAAAAGACTCCTCCAGTGATTTTGCAGAGTAAGTGGAGCTTGGAGGAGGATTCAGGTCCCAGGTTCTTAAAATACAAAGTAAAACAAAAACTCATTCCCTATCTTGGAAACTTGATCTCTTCTATACATGGAAGTCCTGAGTTTTAGACCTTAGAGGATTCAACACACAATCTAGCCCTATTGTAAGGACCTAGAGGACAATAAAATATATTTTGACCATAATTTCCTTTGTATTTATATATACACAGAATATCCTACATATCTTTTGTATTCTTGTTTTCATACTATTACAGCAAATCTCTGCCTTAAACAGTCACTTGCCAAATGGAAAAATGTGTGCCCCAGTTTTACGGAACATGCCTGGACCTATTCCTCCCTAATTGTACTCTCACCCTTCCACCCCCAGGGCTGGGGGATGGATAACAGGACTTCTGAATCATCACTGGAATAAACAAACTATTAAAGCATCTTGTTTATAACATCGTATCTGTAACTGAAGGTGGGTGAGAATTGTAAGGGCAGAACTCAGATCAGCTTTGTTGTTCATCCTTACAATCAAAGATGGTGCCTTCTGGATAGTCAGTATGTTAGCTCATCTCTCCATTAAGTTTACATCACAAGGGAAAACAACCAAGTCAGCAAATAACAACCCAGTATGTCCACAAGCAATATAGTGAGGTTTTAAAAGGTACCCAGAATGGGGGAGGATGGCTTAACACAAAAAAGTCATGAATTCTTAGTCAGTGAAGGAACCAGCCTGGGCAGGAAGTGGCTAAGAAGGGGGAGAGTCTGGATCCTGGGGCCTGAAACTCTGGAGAAACTATTCCACCCATAAAACTAAAAGAGAGTGGCAAAGCTGTGCAAACGCAACTTTAGGCAGAGGAGGATGAATACAAACCCAGCAGTTTGATGAGATTGCAACACATTAGCAAGGCCACAGGTCCACAGGTCTATTTACTCTCTCACAAATCACTCTGAATTGAGGGTAGATGATGGAAAGGTGAATGAAAATGTTACTAGGGTCAGTCTTTTTTTTTTTGGTGAGATTGGGGTTTGAACTCAGTTTCACACCCGCAAAGTAGGCACTCTACCGCTTGAACACACCTCCGGACCATTTTGCTCTGGTTAGTTTTGGAAATGGGGGTTCTCATGAACTATTTCCCTAGGCTGGCCTCAAATCGTGATCCTCCTGATCTCAGTCTCCCAAACAGTTAGGATTACAGACATGCACCACCAGTATTGGGCTTTTATGGTCAGTCTTATTCTTGGGTTTCCCCCTCATTCTCCATTACTGCTTTTTAAAAATTGTCTTCTTTTTATTTGGGGCTGTGTATCTCTAGATCTTTCCCCCTCCATTCCCTCAACCCAGGGCTGGAGGACTTCAAATGCTGTTCTTCGAAGACAAATTGTTTTGATGATATTTTCAGTTTAGAATCTAGATTGCATATTCTCTTGCCTCATACTTCTCTGAGCATTTTCCATCTGACCTGAGGATAGTATAGAGTAGTGGCATGTACATATGATCTACAGGTAGTAGGATAATCTCTATTTCCTTTTCTGGTACAAAAAAGTGGTAAGAACACCTGCCTAGTAGGAGTGAGGCCTTGAGTTCAAACTCCAGTACTAAAAAAAAAAAGAGAGAGAGAGAGAAAAGAAAAAAACACCAAAAGCCATGACATTCTAAGATTGACATAATATTTTTCATCAATTCCAGTTAAGCTTTTTTTTTTTGGAGCTACACGTGGGAGGGATTAAGATAGGAAAATTATTTTTTTCTAGGTTTTTTTTTGAAATGGCTCAAAGTTTTAAAGCTTGAGTGCTTCTACATCTACAAGATTTAAGCATCAGCAGATGGGCTTCGTGGGTTGTGGAGGTGGAGGCAGGGGGAGAGAGATGGAGCAGGTGGGACTTGGTTATCATGGCTGCCAAGCTGGGATTTCAGTTTTCCTCAGCCTGGTGGTTCTGAAATGCCTTGGGGTGTTAAGGACACTGAGTAGTGAGATTGGGACGGTATTAGGGAAGCAGGAAGCAGGCAGTAGGCAGACAAGGCACCTTAGGAGGCTTTGGTCAGCAGCTGGAAGAGGGAGAGGCCAGCATAAAGGGCACAGAGGCGAGGGAGGGTGTCAGGGTCCCACATGTATTGAGGACCAGATCTCTGTACTTCCAGGCCACTCAGTCCCACTAGAGCTTCTGTGAGGATCAGTTCCTCTTCCCCAAGGGAGGAGAGCAGATCAGGTCGCAGGGGGAAAACACCCTCTTTATCCTGCAGGAAATTCTGTTCCATCACACTCTCCACCTGCAAGGACCAAAACAACATGAAAGAAAAAAAAATCTGGAAATCTCCCTTCCTCTCTCCTAACCCATACAAATGACAAAGAAGGCTGTAGTCCCCTTATCATAACTCCGTACCTTACGCTACAACTCCATTTGGGTTATTTAATAGCACTGTACCGTGGGCAGTACCTGTACTTTGAGCTCCAGTGTACAGAAGAATAAATTGAGATAGAGACATTAAAAGATTTGCTCACATCACTTGGCTAGGAATAAACAAAGTCAAAATTTTCTGTCTCTTCTCCCAAGAACAGGCCCATAGGCTGGAGGCATGGCTCAAGTGGTAAAGAGCCTATCTGGCAAAGTGAGTTCAAATACCAGTTCGCAAATAAAAAAGAGAAAAAAAGATAAAAACCAGATCATGATCAGAAATTCACCATTCTACTTCTTGTGAAATAACAAAAAGAAAGTAATGTGGAGAGAACCAAAGAGTAGGTTTGGGCTCCTGGATAAAGCAGGGGCCTTGAGGGTGATTCTGCCATCAAGCTAAGTCTGCATCTTCCCACTGGTTCCAGCTACTCCTTCCCAAACTCTCTCTGACATCTGCTATTTTTTTTTTCTCACCAGTTTCAGCTGTACCGGTAGGATCTTTTTCTCTGTGGATTTTACTAGAAGCTTCTGTTGGGCTTCACTTAGCACTGGAGAAAAAGCAGAGGAAAAATGTGTGTGTTGCTAGTGCAGAAGGGTCTATAGACTCCACAAATACTGCATTTCTGGAATTCCAGCCTGCATTGATTAATTCATTCATTCATTTGTGATTAAATGCCTGCTCTATGCCAGGCATTTTTGCCAGGTGTTAAGTAAAAATTATAGTTCCTTCACTCAAGACTGTCTTCTCTGCAGTCTTGGCAAGAAGACAGAGTAATGTGCAGTTACAATCCAGGGTCTTAAGGGAGTATTGCTGAGGGGTCTACTTTGGTCTTGGCATTTGAGGGCAGGCTTCCTAAGGGAACAAATATCTCAGTTTATACCTGAAAAACCAGAGAGTGTTTCTAAGTGGGGGAATGCTTCATTCAGAGGGAAGGAGAAAATGTAGGGGCAACATCAAAAGATGTTACCCTTTGAAATTAAAGCTGAGAGGTGAGTATCAATATGGAAGTGATGACCTTGGCTATATGTAGAAAGTTTTAACATATACATGAAAAAACCTGGGCTATTTCCTAATCTCTGTTAGCAAGACTTTCTTCTCAGTCATTAAAATGATCAAGAGAATCCTTAGGAATGGAATCAATTTTTAAAAATGTCATTACAAACTACTTACCTGTAGTATAATTTACCTAGCATTTACTCATTCATTCATTTTGTAATTCACTCAGGTGATTCATTCCTATCACTAAAAATTATAAGTAAAGTCTTTATTCTCCACTTACCTGTTAGGGCTCCAAGGAAATAGAGAATGGCATCCATAGCCTCCTTTGACAGTAAGACATCTTTTGGGAGTGCTTCCAGGGTCACCTCATGTCCCTTGTCTAGAGCCCCTTCAAGCTGTGAGGAAAGGTGGGTGATTGTTTAAGATACCATGGTAAAGGCCTCCAAAAAGCATCTGGCACACAATAGTTCCTTGACATTTGGCGTCTCTTTCCCATTTCTCTATTTCTTTTTTGTGGTATTGAGTCTTGGAAAGTACTCCTGGGTTCCTTGGTTCCTGGGTTTTGGACTCTTTCAGCAGAGGGCTCTTCTGGCCTGCCCATCTTCTGTCCATCAGAGGGAGTGTATGCCTTGAAGGAACCTGTACTGTTGGCCCTTTTCTAGGAATGGGATTGGGGGCAGGCAGCCTGGGAGCACTTGACCAGCCTTAGCAAAGGTATTCACTGTCAATTTCCTTGGCCACTAGCCACCTTAGGCCACTGTCAGATACTCCCACTGCCACAAAAACCCTCCTCCTCTTTCATTCTCCCACTGGGGCCTCACTGTGAGCTCAAGGTCTTGGAGGTCCTTTTTCTTTCCAAGGAGTTTGCTGAGGGAGTTGAGCAAGGAGCTTTGTCCTGCTCGACTCAGCTTCTCCACTTCTTGGGTCTCTCTTTGAACTTCTTCTTTTAGAGTCCTGAAGTCCTCGTGTACCTCCCCTAGGAAGACAATAAATGTGACAACCGCCCTCCACCCTCAGGACATTCTCCCTGAAGGCTCCTTTACTCACCCTCCTCAGGCCCCATGCCTGCTCACCTTCAAGCCTGACCTTTTTTCTTTACCAAGGAACGTGGTTATGAAGTTATCCCGCAGCCCTGACATGAGGGTGGGACAAGGAGGTGGACCAGGAGCTATAATATCATCTAATCCAACAGTTAATCGTCCCTAAGATCCCAGTTCTAATCTCTCATCAGTACACCATTGACTTCCTGTTCTCAAAGACTCTAGCTAAAAGTAGAGAGGGAAGATCTGTTTCCCCTTCTTATGAGTTGGTGGACAAAGAATGATCTTGGTGACTAAGTGAGCAGAGGGGCTCTGTATTCAGGGCTGGGGTGACCTGTAACCTGGCTTTCTAGGGTCCTGGCATCATATCAGTTTGCGCAGGAAAAAGTGGCTTCCTAGAAATGGCTCTAATCCCAGGACCTGGGACTCAGCCCTTGCCTTGTCTTCCCTTCCCTCCACCCTAACGTTTTTTCCACCAAAGCCAACAAAGTCTTGGTAGAAACTCACAAAATTCCTTACCGACATCAGATGCCTGGATAACTGAGGAAAAAGGAAAGAAAACAAACACAACAAGGAATAAAAATGCAATCCTTCAGCATGATAGACATCCCCGGGGGTAAAACATTAAGGAAGATGAGGGAATATGTCCCGAATATGTCCCGTCTGTCTCCTAGGAGAGCCCAGCTATCTTCAGGATACTCTAGCTCCAGGAATGGAAGGCAGGAATGGTTCAGAAAGCTAACTTGATATGAAAAGGGGCAGCTGGACTGAATTGGAGTTGCTGTGTTTTAGTGGCTCCTGCCCAGTTGCTGGACGGTAGAGTGGCAGGCACGTGGAAGAAGTCACAGCTACCAAGGCCCTTGGGGACAAAGGTTTGAAGTGTCTGACCACTGAGGCATCTTGTCCAAAGATTTCCCCCTTTCACTGCTTTTTTCTAAGCTACTGAATTTGCTGCCACATTTCAGAGACAGCTGTCTAACCTGCTCTGCCATCTTTCCTGTTAGTTCCATGGAGTTGGAAAGAACTGGAGTTTTAAACTTGAGTCAAGAAAGGTGTGGTGGTGGGCTGGCAGAGTGGTGCAAGTGGTGTAGCACCTGTTTAGCAAGTGTTAGACCCTGAGTTCAAACCCCAGTGCCACAAAAAAAAAGAAAGGTGTGATGGAATGAAAGAAACACTTACGCGTGAACTTCCCCTCTCCTGGCTTTTCTGAAGACAGAAACAATGCACATCTGTCAGCATAAAACTTTTGCCTGCCTTTTTGTCTAAAGGTGTTGTCAAGGCAGCTTCATTAGTGATCATTATAAAAACACGTGAGATCCTGTCAGCACATCCATTCCCAACAAATTGGGAAACACACACTGTCTGCCAGTGTTCTTTCTGCTTCCGATTGAGCCTCTGATCTCTCTGTCTTTCTGTTTCTCTGTCCCTCTTGGGCAGTACGTATATGCCTCTATCTGACTCTTCTAAAGTTGGGGGATATTCTGGGGACTTGGAGAATGAAAGCAGGGGCTCCTGGAAAGATTATGGTATCTTCTATGGGGGGGAGGTTAACAGATGAAGTTGGGGTAGGGCAGGAGAAGTGGGGATCCAACAAGCAGTTCACTTACCTCCAGGAGGAAAGGTTTGCATGCCGTCATTATAGATGTGTGGAATATCTGTAAGGGGCAAGAGAGGGAGACCAAGAGGCCATTGCCAGCTCTTTCACACTTCTTTCTCTAGTCTCAAGCCCAAGGGCTCTGCCCAGGGCTAGATCCTGTCCCTCAAATAACTTATCTAACTTTCCACTTAACCCCCACCCCCACACCAATTGCCAGAAGTTGTAAATTCTCTCCTATGCTAGCATATTTTCAACCTTGAACTCTAGCGCTGGCATTAGGGGCTGTTTCCTTCTTTGACTTATTGAGAACAAAGGCTTGTTCATGTTTGTGTCCCCCTCCCACAGCTTCTACTATGTACGGAACCCAGAAATGCTCAGAACCCAGAAGCCCCTTTACCTACTCTCCAGAGCAGCCCCTATAGCTCTGTCCCTAGCATTTGGCAATGCCATACACTCCCACAAATGGGGACCTGAATTCCACAGTACTGGTATGGATAATTCCTGTCTTGAAGGGAGAATATGCTAGTCTCTGCTTACCCCACTCATCTTTGCCATTGACCATCAGCTGTCTCACTCGAAAGGCCAGGACACAGCCCTTGGGGATGGTTATAGCCTCCTTGTGGTTTACAGATCCCTAAGATTACACAATGAGAATTTGTGAATGTGTGGACATCCTACATGTGAGACACGGGCAGTGGGAGTGGGAGGACAGGTGGAGGGTCAGCTTGAGAGTCTGTGTGGAGATAGGAAGTGGTAAACCCTTCAGAGGTATCCCTGATTATCTTTTTCCTTAGTCTGGACTCCGAGGGATGGGTTTTGAAGCCCCCCCTACTTATTTCTGGTACCATCATCTCCAATCTGTCTCGTCCTCATTTGGACATGTGAAGGTAATTGGGCAAACCTACTCCATCACCTGCCTGTGCAATATCCTCTCCCACCTCCAGGTCCTGGTTCCTTCTTCCTGTTTACCATCCGTCCCGTGCTCACTTCATTCAGGAAATCTCCCATGAGTAATCCCTCCTCCTTGCTCCAAATCCCAGATCATTCCTCATGAATATACTCACTAGCTGTAAGTACAAGAGCCTTACTTATTTCCACCGAGATTTCCAGGCCTGTGTTCCCTGGACTTTAACGCAAGATTCATCTATGAGTCTGAGAACTTTCTGTGATCAAGGAGCTCTGCTCTGTAGGTTGGGACCACTCATGAGTGTGATTCCCCTTCCCCATATTTCCTGCAGCATCTAGCACAGAGGTCTGCCCACCCTTGGCATCATTGACCAGAGAAGGGAGCCATGCATCTGGTCAATTGGGGTTTGGATCTTTCTTTCTTCTTCTTCTTCTTTTTTTTTTTGGTGGTACTGGGGTTTGAACTCAGGGCCCTGCATTTGCTAGACAGGAGCTCTACCACTTGAGCCACTCTGTTAGTCCTTTTTTGTGTTGGGTATTTTCGAGATAGGGTCTCTTAAAACTATTTGCCCAGGCTGGCTTTGAACCTTGATCTTCCTTATCTCTGCTTCTGGAGTAGCTAGGATTACAGGTGTGAGCCACCTGTTCCCGGCTGGGGTTTGGTTCTTGAACAGCAAAGAGAAGAGGTGGGTCCTCTTCGCATTCTGAGTGGGCACTAATGGGACAAAATTAACGAAGCCTGTGTGTAAGTGTGTGTGTGTGTTTGTAAGTGTAAGTGTGTGTGTGCTTGAACCAAACCTGTAGCCCCAATGGGGCAAAGAACGGGAGGGAGAAGCAGCCCTCCGCTTTGCCAGCTCTCTCCAGAGTGACCTCCTCCACGGTTTCCACCACCTCCATCACCACGTACAGGTTCTCGCCTCGTTCTCTCATCTCTTTCAGGAATGGGTGATCTGCTGCCAGCTTTCTGAGCAGAAGAAGCATAAGGGGGTTAGGCAGAGCTTCTCTCTGCAGAAGCTCAGCCTTTTACTTTTATTCTACTGCTCCTGGAAGCTAGGATATTGTGGCGTCAGGGAAGGAGTGAAGACTCAAGTCAAATCAAGGTGGAAACCCAGATCTCCTGCCTCCTATCAGGGCAGCTTCTCTGAATCTGAGTGGCCTCATCTATAGAGTGAGGGTGATGATGCCTACTTTCAGGTGAGCTGAGACAAACTCAGCTGGCACAGTAGCTGGCTGGGGACAGGGCTGCATGACTGCTCTTCCCCTTCTCTTTTGGCCTAGGGGTAGATTTTCCTCTCTTGTCCCCTGTTCATGTCTTCTGGGATCCTTCCTCTCCATCTCATATTCCCTCTCTTGCCATTAATGCCAGTTCCTCTTCACTTGCTCTTTCCTTTTTGATTCCATATATAAACATACTCCTGCTCCTAAAAAATTCACTTTCTTTGATTCTCTTAGTCTCTCAAATTACCACCCTATATCTTTCCTTCACTAAGGATATACCCATGCCCACTGCTTACTTCCTCACTTCCCACTCTGAATTCTCAATAACTTGGCTTCTATTTCTACTACTCAGCTGAAGTAATGATCAAACTTACTTTCTCTACCTCTGGACTACTGTCCAATGTGACGCTATCTTTTCTTGGCTTCTGATCACACTGGACCACCTGGTTCTATGCCCATCTTTCTGGCTCCTAAATCTTACTCATTCTATCTGCATCCATTTTCCAGTTTATGTGGTTCTCTGTCATTTTCTGTTCTCTGACATTCTGTTCTCACACCTCTATGCTCTGAGCTCCCTCCAAGCACCCCCCACCAGTTCCTACAGTTTCAATCTTTATTTTGCTAACTATCACCTGGTATCTTCACTGTGACTTTTTCACCTTGAGTTCCTGACTCCTATGTCCAACTCCCCATTGAATATTCTTTGCTGATGCTGCAGCAGAGTCACAAACTCAAAATGTCTAAAAGGAACTCACAAGCACCCTACAAAGCCACTTCTCCTTTGTCACCTGTAATGTCACCTTTAATGTCTTATAATATTACGACATGGGTCAAAATTCAGTCATCAGTGACAAAACCTTTGCCCTTGCCCTGCTCTCAGCTGCCAAGTCTAACCCATTCTATTGTCCTTTGCAATAGGCCTTGCTTCCGTTCCTCCCACTCATTCCAGCTGCTCTTCCTCATCTCACGTCCTCATTTTTCACTTCTGATGGACAGTGGGACAGTGTTCTGCCTGCTCTTCCTGCTTCAAATCCTTCTTTCTCTATCTAACACATTTCTTCCACTTAGCCAAATTGGTCATGAGACATATCAGAGCATTGTCAGGTATCCCTGGTGCTGATAGTGGACCTCCCTGACCTTGACCTGGTGCCTGGTTCCTGAATGCTCTGGGTCTCCCTCTTGTTCTACTTATACCTCTTCCTGTCAAACTGGCTATTCATCGTCCCTTATTGGTTTTGAAAGGTCACACCCGTGTGCTTTTGTAAACGCCTTTCTCTTAGTCCTGCATGCCCAATTTCTATTCATCATTCAAGGCCTAGATCACGGGCCACTATCTCTGTGAGGTCTTTCCTTATTTCCCCAGTCCGCAGTCCCTCTGACCTGCCACCTGACTCAGCTGAACCCTTGCCATGGCGCTTATCACTTCTTGTTCTGGATTTTAGTTACTGTGGCACATTACTTTTTACCCTCCTAGATTGCAAAGTTTTTGGGCAAAGACGTTCTAGGTGCACCCAGCACATAGTAGGATGATTTGCACTCAAGGAGAGCTCTTTAAATACTTACTGGATGACTTTCCAAGCACCCCGGCCTCTCCTTCCAGCCTCCCCAGTTCTTACTTGCTTCTGTCAACCACTACTTAACTACTTAAAAGTCAGGTCCCCTATCAAGTCAAGCCAAACATGTGTGATGCCTAGCATCAACCTCAACCACACCCCTTGGGCAGCATTCTCCACGGCGTGCCTGGTGTGTGGTGTGGGGTCAGCAGGAGGCTTCATTTATGGAAGCAGAACACTGTGCTCAGGCTTCAGTAGGAAGCAGTTAAGACCAGCCCCTTCCCTCTTTCTAGTGTATTTCAGTCTTTGAGTTGAGTGAATATTAAAAATTATCATCCAGGGCTGAGGATGTGACTCAAGTGGTAGAGCACTTACCTAGCACATGTGAGGCTATGGGTTCAATTCTTAGTACCAAAAAAAAGGAAAGAAAGAAAAAAGAAAAGAAACCATCCAACCCCACCATTCTGCAGGAAAGAAAATGGAGGTTCTGAGATAAGTAAGTTTTCCAAGGTCACACAGCAAGCAAATGTGAATGTCCTTACACCCACATCTAACAGAGGGATAGTGGTACTGGAGGGACAGGGAAGAAAGGTTAGGAAATGAGGCATCAATGCACCCATAGGCCAGAAAGGTCACCTTCAAGGGCTCTTGTGTGGGGCCACATTGGCAAGGTCCTCACCCTTCCACTCATGGCCCAAAGCAGCTTCCTGTGCACTAGTCAACACATCCTGGTAGCCACACACACTGTTGCTCTCACCTCTCCTTGTGTAAGTTCTCCAGGGCTTTGGGAGCCACACTTAGTGTCTGGACTTCCAGCGTGCTGTTCCGGGAGAGCCCTGCAGTGCCCTTCACCTTCACGGTCTTTGGCACATCCACTTCTCCCTCCACTCGGGCATCCAGCATATTCTTAAAGCTAAAATTCCCAGAGTCTGTTGGATCTGCAGGAAGGAGAAGACAGAGGGGCTTGGTTGAGAGGCAGCTTCAGGGTCCTCCTTGTGAGCCAGGTCCCTGGTCCCCAATCCCTGGGATCCCTTGGAACCCAGTTCTTTATGCAAGGCTGACCTGAGGGTGAGTTGCCAGGCTCTAGCACATCCAGAAGGGTGTAGTCGGTGCGGATGTAGCGGGCCCCCCAGAAGAGTGTGCTCTTCCTTTTCCTCAGCACCAAGCAGAAGGGATGGAAACGCTTGAAGTCAATTAGGCTGTCTAGGGGCGTCAGGTCCCCTCGAGGGTTTAGCTGTCTGGTCAGGGCCCGGGTGACATTTTCAAACATGGTCATTGTCTCTGTAGGGATGGAGATGGAGACTGTCAAGATAGCTGCCAAGGACACCAGAACCTGGTAAGGCCTCTATAGAGAGTTACCTGCTTCTTGGACAGGGGGAGCTCTTAAAGAGGCCTGGATGGCCAGGTGCCAGTGGCTCACGCCTACAATCGTAGCTACTCAGAGATCAGAAGGATCTCGGTTTGAAGCCAGCCTGGTAAAACAGTTTGTGAGACCCTATCTCAAAAAAAAAAAAAAAATCGCAAAAAAGGGCTGGTGAAGTGACTCAAGGTATAGGTCCTGATTTCAAGCCCCAGTACCAAAAAAAAAAAAAAAAGGCCTGGATTTTCTAATGTCAGAAACATAAAGGGCCCAAGGAATCCTCATATGATGCGGAAACTTGAGCTCCAGAGCTCACATAGCTGGCAAAGCCCTTTGTTAAGGGCTCTTTTCTTCCTCCATGCTCATTTCATCAGTCAGAGATCCAGGCTGGAGCATGTCATAAGAAGTGGAAGTGAAGCTTCCTTTCACACCATGAAATAACCATGGCCAGGATCTGGGGACACTAGGGAAGGGAAGCATCTGTTGCTGGGGCTGGTGGCTGCAGGGAGAGGTAAGAAAGCCTGGGCAAGCTGCTCTGGGAAGGAGGACACTTGCATGTACTCCCCTTGCACCCACCTCCCAGCTTATGGCTAGGAGTAGACCACTTCTCCAGGTGCTGCTCCACAGATCCAGGTGTGTTGATGCTCTTTGCCTTTGTCCTCTCTGCTTACAATACCCCCTTCCCAATCACAAGAATCTCTATTCATCCTTTAAGACTGGCGACCCATTCACTCATTCCTTCTGACATTTGGCAATTCCACCTGTGTTCCCAAAGCACTTTGTGTATCCCCTTCTGAAACACCTGCCACTTCAGGTTGTTATGATCTGTGTACCTGACTCACTTGCCTACTAAACTGACTTCCCAGAGAGCAGGAAATAGGTCTTAGTCACCTCTGTAACATCAGCTTCAAGCACAGTGCCCTGGTGCAGAGCTGGAGCTTGGCAAATGTGTGTGGGAGGAAGGAAAGAAAGAAAGAAAGAAAGAAAGAAAGAGGCACAGGAGACATATGCTGGGGTGAGAGGGTTCCAGAGAGTACAGGGCCTGCAAGAGCTTGAGGTTCACCATCTGTCTTTGAAGTCCAAGTCCAGGTAATCCTGCCGGGCAGTTGGGGCACACCCAGGTTATTCCCGTGGGTGGAAGGGAACATACCAGCTGACTGGCAAGTACCTCACCTTTCCTGTGGCATCTCCCAGAGGCAGGGAATCGGGAGCACAAGCACAGATTTGTGGGGCCATCCTGCCAGCTCCAATGTGCCTTTTCTCCTGTCATTCCTGGGAGGGCCCAGATGGGATTGGGCCACCCCTAGGGCCAGCTAGGTGCACTTGGAAGGGTTCCTCACCAGAGAGGTGCTCACAGAGCCACGCCTCCCTTCCCTCCCTAAGACCTATCAGGACACCTACCCTGATAGTTTCTAGGGTAGTCCCACTCATTTCTCTAGATCCCCAAAATGCCCTTGCCGCCTTGGTTGGCATCAAGTTCTTACCAGGGAGTGATGTTGGGTCCTGTCTGGCAGCTGAGTGTGGGGTGAGGGTCCACAGCTTACTCTGTATGTAAGTTGAGAGAATGACTGTCCCTTGCCCGGACAGGCTGCTTTATGCCTCTGTGGAGGCAGGGATGTAGGCTTCCAGGGCCCCCGCCTGCCCCAGTGACCCCACCTCCCTCCTGCTCTACTTCTGGGAGAACAGCATCAACCTGTTCCAGGTGTGCCCTGCCCCAGGCCCTGGGCCCTGGCTTCCTAAGGGATGTGGGGGTGGGCAGGGAACTGCCTGGGAGGTGCCAGTGCAGGTGAGGGGCAGTCAGGACTGAGTGAGAGGTGGCAGCTGAAGGTTCATTTGTGGACACCTTTGGGGTTACAGAGAGGCAAGGGGAATGGGGGTGCTTGTGCACATGTATGCACATCCATGGATGTACGTATGTATGTGTGAGTGATAAGGGGAGGCATCTCTGTTCTGATGTCATCTGGTCTATCAGGAAGTGTCTAGAATTAATGGTAGGCCTTGTGGGCATGATAAGGGGATAAAAAATCCTGTGTATCCAGAGATGCCAGCAGAGAACAGAACAGCTGAAAAGCTATCCTTCATTTTTCTGTGGGTTGGCCTACCAATTCCTACCTCACTCCATTTGTTTTAAGTACATGTATATCTCTGATAGTGCTAGACACATATGTCTAGGCAGAGGTGGAGCTAGATCAAATTTTTGCTGTTGTTTTGTTTTTTGGTGGGACTGAAGTTTAAACTCAGGACCTCGCGCTTGCAAAGCAGGTGCTCTACCACTTGAGCCACACCTCCAGTCCATTTTGCTCTGGCTATTTTGGATATAGGGTGTCCTGAACTATTTGCTTGCGCTGGTCTTGAGCCTTGATCTTTTTGATCTCAGCCTTTCAAGTAGTTAGGATTACAAGTGTGAACCCTGGTGCCCAGCTGGTTTTCTGTTGTTTGATGTTCCATATCTCTGCTTCTCATGGAATACTGAATACTGAATTTCCTACACAAAGGAAGCTCATAGCAGTGATACTGATGGAAAAGTCAAAGATACCAGTTGTAGGGTTCATATGTCTCCCAATAGGTCACTCAGGTTTTGCTCTTATCTTCAGTCTCTGCTTAGAAGAAATTTAAAAGGGGACTTTACACACAAAGGCAGGTTTTGAGATGACAAATTAAGGGATTTATTAGCAAGGCCTTGTAGTGAGGGGATGCATGGTCTCACATGAGTGCAGTGCACGTAGAACTTGAACACACCTGAGCCTTTATGCACTCACCTGGAGGCTCTCCTTAGCATTGCTCGTAGAAAAACAGTGCAACCTTAGGCTAGTGACTTGGTTCAAATGGCAGAGAGCCTGCCTAGAAAGTTCAATGCCCTGGGTTCAAACTCAGTACTGAAAAAAGAAAAAAAAAAAAAGAGAGGAGAAGCAATGCAGCCTTGAAGGACATGAAAATTAAATTTGGTCTTTCTTGTAGCTTTTCTTGAGGGGCTGGTGTGAATGATATTAGACTGTCCACTGTCAGTAAACTCCTAAATATCCTCAGAGCCTTATTCAACACGACAGAGGCTCCTACCCTATGTCTTAAAACAAAACAAGACAACACCTTGCCCCTGCCACTCTGGTTTCTGCTTGTCTCCTTTTCCATTCACACCATGCCCTGCTTTATTGTTTTGGTACTGGAGTTTGAACCAGGGCCTACATCTTGAGCCACTCCAACAGCCCTTTTTTGTGTTGGGTGTTTTTGAGATAGGGTCTCATGAACTATTTTCCTGGGATGACTTTGAACCGCAATCCACCTGATCTCTGCCTCCTGAGTAGCAAGGATTACAGGCGTGAGCCATCAGCGCCATGCGTCTCTTGTGTAGCTAGCTATCAAACACTTCTTTCTCCTTTGACAGCTCTAAACATTGCTTATGTTATCAAACAGCCCCCTCCTTATTAGAAGAGTCAGAGATTTGGGTGTGTGGAAAAGTTGTCATTGATCATTTGGTCCCTGTCACAAGTCCACATGTGTGCAGAATTGTGTTCTGTGCGTTACATTCTTTCAATCTCTGTTTTCCTGGTACTTCCTGGATGTCCGCCTCTTCCTCTCTGTCTCTTTGAATCTCTACACTGATAAGACACCTGCAATCCAGCACATAGTCCTGGGGCTGTGTAGTCTCCCATCCCTTAATCAGTTCTGGGAAAGGCGGCCCCACTCCCTGCCCTCTCACCAACCTGCAATTACATCAGCCAGGCTTTGGGAGTTTTTTCCTAGTGTATACCCTCTTCCCACTGGCTGAAGTTCAAGGTTTCTGATCTATTTCACCCCCCAAAGATCTGAGAAGTAGCTGTTTAGTAAAGTCATGCAGGAATCTGCTTTCCCTGAAGAGTCAAAAAGTTCATCCATCCAGCTGTCTCTCCTCTGACCCACAAGTCTTGTTCTTTTTTTTCCTCTATCTTCCTTCATACACTCCAATCTCTCCAGCCTGTCTTCATTCTCTTTGTCCCACCCTCCTCACCTCCAACTCATTGCACTGCTCACCCAAACTGCCTAATAGTATATCCTAAGAGCTGGGCTTAGAGGGTTCAAAGCAAAAAGAAGATATAAGAGCTTGTAGGGTAGGCCAACCTGAATGGAATGAAAATATCTATGTTCAACTTATCTCTGGGAAGCTCCTCCCTCCTATCCTGGATGCCCTTTCTCTTTTATACTCTCTCTCTTTTTTTTTTTTTGTGGTACTGGGGTTTGAACTCAGGGCCTCATGCTTGCTATTCTCCCACTTGAGCTACTCTGCCAGTTATTTTTTTGTGTGTGTTGGATATTTTAAAGAGAGGGTCTCTTTTCCCCAGGCTGGCCTTGAACCTCGATCCTCCTGATTTCTGCCTCCTGAGTAGCTAGGATTACAGGCCTCTTTTACACTCTTAACCTCCATAATCTTAAGGTATGGGTCACAGCATCCCTTTAGGATCCAGAGGCTCCCCCTCAGAGTGCTGTTTTTTGTTCAGGATAATCTGGGGCAGAATTTAAATTGCAATGGAAGAGATTTAAATTTGACAAATCTACAAAACGTCTTTTAGTTAATTAAAAGTAATAATACCAGTATGACAAGGAAAAGAAAAGTAACATTAAAACTGAAGGCTGTGGGGGCAGGGTGCTAAGGCAGGCTTTGCTCTCCATCGCCCTCTGGTGGTCAAACAAGGTGACAGGCGATACCCTGATTTTCCCAACAAGATTATGATTTGTATGACTATGTTATTAGGAGGTGGGACTCAGAAAGGGATCTGACAGACCACAAACTCTAAAGTTCATACAGGAAAGAGTAGGAAATACTCTGGAGTTAGTAGGTATAGGTAAGAACTTTCTCAATGAAACCCCAGCAGCACAGCAACTAAGAGATAGCATAGATAAATGGGACCTCATAAAACTAAAAAGCTTCTGTTCATCAAAAGAAATGGTCTCTAAACTGAAGAGAACACCCACAGAGTGGGAGAAAATATTTGCCAGCTACACATCAGACAAAGGACTGATAACCAGAATATACAGGGAACTTAAAAAACTAAATTCTCCTGAAACTAATGAACCAATAAAGAAATGCGCAAGTGAACTAAACAGAACTTTCTCAAAAGAAGAAATTCAAATGGCCAAAAAACACATGAAAAAATGCTCACCATCTCTAGCAATATAGGAAATGCAAATTAAAATCACGCTAAGATTCCACCTCACCCCTGTTAGAATAGCCATCATCAGCAACACCATCACCAACAGGTGTTGGCGAGGATGCGGGGAAAAAGGAACCCTCTTACACTGTTGGTGGGAATGTAAACTAGTATGACCACTCTTGAAAAAAATTTGGAGGCTACTTAAAAAGCTAGACATTGATCTACCATTTGATCCAGCAATACCACTCTTGAGGATATACCCAAAAGACTGTGACACAGGTTACTCCAGAGGCACTTGCACACCCATGTTTATTGCAGCACTATTCACAATAGCCAAGTTATGGAAACAGCCAAGATGCCCCAGCACTGACGAATGGATTAAGAAAATGTGGTATCTATACACAATGGAATTTTATGCAGCCATGAAGAAGAACGAAATGTTATCATTCGCTGGTAAATGGATGGAATTGGAGAACATCATTCTGAGTGAGGTTAGCCTGGCCCAAAAGACCAAAAATCGCATGTTCTCCCTCATATGTGGACATTAGATCAAGGGCAAACACAACAATGGGATTGGACTTTGAGCACATGATAAAAGCGAGAGCACACAAGGGAGGGGTGAGGATAGGTAAGACACCTAAAAAATTAGCTAGCATTTGTTGCCCTAACGCAGAGAAACTAAAGCAGATACCTTAAAAGCAACTGAGGCCAATAGGAAAAGGGGACCAGGATCTCTCTAAAAGGTGAGATCAAAAAGAATTAACCTAGAAGGTAACACACACACACAGGAAATGAATGTAAGTCAACTCCCTGTATAGCTATCCTTATCTCAACCAGCAAAAACCCTTGTTCCTTCCTATTACGGCTTATACTCTCTCTACAACAAAATTAGAAATAAGGGCAAAATAGTTTCTGCTGGGTATTGAGGGGGTGGGGGGGAGAGGGAGGGGACGGAGTGGGTGGGGGTGGGGGCAGGGGGGAGAAATGACCCAAGCCTTGGATGCACATATGAATAATAAAAAAAAAAAAAGAAAGGGATCTGAGTTAGGGGAGAAGGCCCTAACCCCAACTGCTAGCTCTTTGGGAACCTTGATATCTGTCTGAGTCAGAGTACTCTGAAGATAGAGATAGACATTGGGGTAAGGCATTATTTTCTTATTCATTTCCTTCTTGACTTTTTTCCCTTAGGAAGGAGCCAAAGATGAAAGAAAGGACAGACTGTGAAAGTTTAGAAGGATGAAAGTCACTGACCTCAGCAGCAATGGGAAGAATCTGGGAGTTAGGGGGCAAGGAGAAGGTTCAGAAATGCATTTACAGGATGTGAAGACCACTTGTAGGGTGTGGGGTGACTGAAGCATTTGGGACAGTGATCCCTCACATAGACATATATATTACCAGAACTTCTCTTAGTAAAATGAGGTGGAAAGGTTGGAGATAAAGACAGGTTGGAAAGGGGTTGTGATTT